GAGACCATTTGAAAGCAAAATCTGTAAAAGATCGTTCCGCGCATCTTGCCGCGAACGCGCGAGAGTGTGCGTGAGCCTTCTTTTTGTGCCTACCTTCACAAATCATTGCGTTTCATAATGAAATGAGAAGTTAATGAACTTCTGACTGGTGCACTTGACTCCTCAAGACACTGACGTCTAACTTTCGTTCGCGTACAGACAAAACCTTGAAGTAATACGGCATTAAACACCGTCTGCCGTTGTTGCTGGTTTGCTTATTACGGGTGCACGACTCTCGAGGATCGATGGACGAACGACCACGGATAGCGGAAAATTGGTATCATTGTGATAATTTTATCTGCTCGTTAATTAATTGTTATTGTCTATTGTGGGCCAATGTTTCTGATAGACGAACAAAATGCTTGATTGGTGCCGGCAATTTTCAGAACGAAATGAGGAAACGAAATAGGAATTTTGCAGGCACGCGGACATGCCGATTGGGTATTACTAAGCGACCAGCTTTAATTATGTTGGGAGATTTAAACAAAGCAAGATAGAAACTACGAGGAGATGCTTCGAATTCTTTCGCCTAGCTGACCAAAACTAAACTGCTGGGCAATAGATTCTAATAAAAAATAATTTAAATTAGCTTATAAATGACTTTACCATCTACAATTATTGTATATTAATTGTTTATATATCAAGCATATATTTACAAGGTCAGTCATATCCTGCGATATCAGCGTATCGGTATCTGGCCTAAAAATAAAATTTCAATCGTAATTAAAATAAAAAATCAAATTTTAATTTTTGTATAGAATTTGAAAAAGATTAAATTCATTTACAATTGCAACGTTTCAATTGTTTAAATTTAAATATCCTGCATATGTCCCTTCTAATTAAAAATAAAAATTTACGTTCAGTCCAGAAACTATTTAGGAATTTTGATAAAGCTTTCTGCAAGTCGCATAAAGCTCTTTCAATTATTTTACACAATTACGATTAAATTACAGTTGAACTATTCAAATCTATGACAGTGTATTTAAAATTTGTTGAGATGATTTTACGGCTAAGGCCTTAAAGGCAAGGATGTCCACTTAACGATTAATGAAACGACCAATCTGCAATACTTGAAGAATACAGGGTGTTATTGAAATGACATCATATAATTTAATGCCTTAATGCCGTGGTCTAAGCACAAATGGCAAAAATGCCCGTTACAACTGTCCAGAAAAAGGCTCCAAACGTATAAAATGAGTGTCGTGCCAGTGGATCTTGACGGCGATAGGCTGGATTCTCGAGTCATTTTAATACGAGTATTGCAAATTATATAAATTCAACCACCAGAAAATAATGTTTTCAGTGATAGTATTAGCTGCAAGTCGACACCGTCATGTTAATACGTTCAAATATACGTTCGGTTGTGATTGATAGGTATCCCGATGTTCAGTGTGACAGTAAGATATCCAATTACAACAATTGTGCTGTCGTATTTTTACAACAGTAGCACAAGATTTTTTATTGGAGACTCTAATTACTCATAGAGTTCTTACTGTTGATTTTGATATATTTACTATGTTTTTATGTATACATTATAGGTGGCGCTGCGGCACTAACTGAATCCATTTTTTTTACTTTTTTTTAGTTTACATTATTTCTTTAGTGCCGGATTCAATTGTCCCCGCCGCTAATATTTTGCGTGCGCAGGCCCTGTGCATATTCTAACGGTAACAAAAGTCAATCATTAGTGATCATCGACGTTTATGAATTCAAACGTATGCAGCGAAAGGACGCATTTGTAAGTGATTGTTAATCTTCTTCAAAACGAATCTGCATTTTTTTACATAAATGCCGCGTTAAGAGCGTCTAATTGTTTGTAATAGAGTGTACAGTTAGACGAGCGAGGAAGCGCTTAAACCAATTATTATCATTAGGATTAAGAACTAGCAGATAAATAGAGAAACGGGTTTCGAAAACGCCTCGTCTTTCGTTCTTCCAGAACGCTTTTTAGCGACGGAAGCGTATATCAAAAATGTATTGCCAGTAACGCCACCAAAGGAAAGATACCTTATCGTTCTAAATTTAATCTCGAGTCAAAATATTTGAATTCTTATAAATATTAATCAGTGGAATGAATGTTCTGTCGATTGAATTGCTGAATTAATTTCTTTTTCGGGTAATTTAAGCAAATTTATCGGAGAATCGGATTTTCCAGTTGCTATCAACCTGTTCTGAACTTTATTCACAAAATATTTAAAATAGTTTAAAAAATGTCTCGTTTTTATGGACAGAGTGCTTCGAATGCCAATTGATGTCAGTCTCAGTCTTCGATAAAATTTTAATAGCATATTTCAGACCAACGAGGTAAAGTAACATTTAAGAAGTATCGACAGATTTCTTCTTATTGGCTATGGTTATATCTTATTTTTTTGTTCGCGCCACAACAAATTGATTCATTGATATATACTACTAAATTATAAATAAATATAAATAAACGCTTTTTTTTCAACTTTTTAGAGGCAGGAAAATCAATTATTTTGAATGTAACTTTCTCTACCAGTAGTACCACCATTATAATTTTATTGCATGTTATTATTTATTATGAAATTTTAATTTTACTTACAGGGATAGCCTTAGAAATGCGAAATTTGCGTTTTACTGTTAATCTAATGTTAGTTTTTTTTTTAATTTTAGAGCCACCTTCGGAAAATCGTCACCCCCATAATCTGAGAAAATAGATTTAAAAAAATAATTAGTATATAAATCTGAAGAGATGTGTGGGTCAACCAATGACAATATAGGCCAAAATTTATCACACCATTTCATAAACAACACTGGCTAGTATTTGTAACTCATGTGTTGAGATTATTAAAAGAAAAATGGTTATATTCTTCTTGAAATGTTATTTTAAATTTGTCAGGCGCATCATGTGCGAGACTGCTTCATTCATGTAAATATAAAAGACGATATGCCTATGGGCAAAACGATACAGGGCACTCGCCCATACTCATGGCGATAAAATAATTTTTGAATTGGTGGACGTTATATGGTCCTTTGGCTTTTGGATATAATGTCAGATCACAACAAAACGTACATCGACAATTTAATATCGCTTAGCAACAGGCGAAAGGTTTTCCGAATATAATAAATAATGCATGAAACTGCAACGCGTAGGGTCCGGTATTCCGCGTAAAGTAAAAATAGCCGCAAGACACGTCAAAAACGATGCACTTAGCGAAACGGCAACTCAATGAATCCGTCCATCCATCAATGAAAGAGTTATGCGCGGGCGATTCCTAAAACAATTTGTTATTAACATTCACGACATGTGTGTCTTATTTGATCAGCAATTCACTCGACGCCGTCGATACTTTGTGTGTATTACATCTGTTGCATTGTGTCTACCGGGCGTAATTTACTGGTTCACATGGCTGACGATACACCGTGTCTCGCGAAAACTGACTTCCACTAGTGCAAAAATTGATATTTCACCATCAATTATTACACAAAACAAAACAGCAAAAAATGTGGCTACATTGCTGAAATAATTTAGTTTATTAAGTTAATAAAACAAAAATTTTAGCATCTTAGTACGCAATTATATAGTGGCCGCAAGCACGGTAAAAATTGATACTCCTCGAGTTTTGGTTTGATGTTTTCTTATAGAAGGGAACACTAGCCTGCTAAACAATGACCACTCCACCCTTAGCTCGTTTTTCTCTGAACGTTTAACGCTATCTGGGCATATAACATACTGTTGTAAAAATGTTACTAACTGAAAACTGCCAAATTGGCGAATTGTCAGCGGCCATTTTGGTTTTTAAATGCCGTTTTGTCTTATTGGTCCAAAACGATATTTGCACATGCGCACATTGAATGACTCTTCTGAACATTTCTTGTTGGAGGTTTCAACACATTTTGTATTATTAGCATAGATATCGCATCTATAAATCTAGTAGCTCTAAACTCTTTAGAACTTTATGAATAGCATGAATATCCTTATGGGTTTAAATATATGGTTAATTCTACAAAAAGTGCTTGATAACCTCTAAACTTAAGGTGTTTACTTTCAAAGATCATGTAGGAACATCAAATGATGATTAAATTCTTGGATAAAAACTAATGTAATTTTATTAAATTTTATTCCAAAAATTATTTCGATAATGAAGATTTTAAATTAGAAATTTGTTGGTGATTCCCTAGAAAAATTTCTAAATCTGCATCCAAATAACATCAGTAAAAATCATTTATTCTCGGACAACGTTTTACATGGAAAATACGAAAGCACTCAATACAACACGAGCGGTCATCGAAACTCTGACCAAGAAAACGTTACAATAATTAGAAGATGGTTTAATCGAATACGATCCAAAAAATGTAAGTCAACTATCAAGCAAAACTGTACTATATAATGTGCAGTGGTAAGAAATTTTCTTAGAGCCGTGAGAGAAAATTTCTATTTACAGTGGCACTGCATTATCTTATGATATCGGTTTTTATCGAGCCGCCCGGTATTCATAGCCAACCAACTAACCTCAAAAATTAACGCGCGGTCTGGTTTACAAAAGGATTTTTAACAGACGCCAGCCTTGATTTTAATAGTTTGTTGTTTTGAAATCGGCTCTGACTCAAAGATCGTTTTGCATTTGTGTTCCGGTTGGTTTTGTTAACGCTGTTTCGTATTCTAGATTTTGCAGGAACTGACCTGGACTTCGCTGGTCAAGCGACGATGGCCCGGAATTTTTAATTGGCTTTGTGGGTTGATCTAGGTTAAAAATAGAGATCCCTAATCACGTAAACGTTTACACTGAAGCCATTTTTAGAACGAATATATTGAAACCGTCTGGGAAAAAGATTAAAGTAATTTTGGCGGCAAATTTCTATTTTTTTTTTGCTCCGTGTCGTCAGAATTATCAGTTTAAGTCCATATTTGGATTTTGGCACCAGAAATTTTCGCTTTTTTAAATAGTTGTATTTTCAAGCGCTACAACGTTTATCACATTATTTTCGAAGACACTTACCAGCGTTAACGGTTAACAGTGTTAGAGCCAAACAAATCGCGCCTAGAGCGCCTGGCTCGAGAAGTTGAGTCCACGCCTTCATGGCGCGTCCTGGAACAAAATAAAAACAATTTAGTAGACGACATAAATCTATTTTCCGTAAAATTTCTTAACCGCAATCTTATTAATTTCGGTTACAGCAAATCAAATACAAAATATATTATTAAGCTCTTGTGTAAATTATAATTAATTTATAAATTATAGTAAATTTGTGATGTTTCTATCCATTGATCTTATAATTGTTAAGAAATCGCAAAATAAAATTGAAGTCCATAGGCGTCCCTCACAAAAAATTGGAGGTCAAAGGGTAAGACGCTCGCCACTCTTCTTCAATATTTCTATGAGCTTTTTACCAAAAATCACGTAGAATTTGTGTTTATAAGACACTAGAAATATCAATAAATATGTATATTGAAACAAAGAGTTCAAATGAAAAGTGGCACAAGGAGTATAATTAAGTTGTCCGTAAATGTACCGGAATCTTAAATCAATAAATCAGTTTCCAAGAACTATTATTTATCGGTTCTACATAGATTATATCAAATATCTTTTCCAAATTATTGCTATGTAAATGACAAAAATAAAAATGCGGTATCCGAAAGTCATTCATCCAGCTTTGTTTATATTAAATAATATACCGAGTGATTCGCAAGTGTTGATAAAGAATTAAAGCTTTGATGAATATTATGAGGCGTCTTTCCTATTTAATTTTAGCTCGAACGCTTCTTTAAAAGGCACGATGCTTTTTAAACATGCAAAACAATTTTAAATTATTCGATATATTATTTTCCAAATAATTTCCATGGAATTTAGATAATTCTTTGTAAATAAAATAGTGCTCCACTGGTCTATGTTAGGAGTTATATTTTTGGATTCATCTTTCAATATTCAAAAACCTCAATTTTTTAAATAAAACTTAATAAACGATCTAAAATAAATCACATTTCGCTACCCGAATAAAATGTTAAAGAAACGTAAAGAAATGAATCAATTAAAAAAATTATGTCCCGTATAAATCACCCATCGCGCAGCCGGTGTGTAATGAAGAACACCTTGACAATGAGTGTTCCAGTAACATAGACCTTATTCACGATGATTATGTAAGTAAATTCTTTGCGTTCGTTTCCCAGACACCCACATTCTGGTATGTTGTTATCTCCATTTTATTGCCATGTGGGTATATGATGCCGCTTTCACTACCTTTTTATCATTAACGCATTGTCTCCGTTACTTATGTTCGCTGAGACGCGAGTTATTTATCATTTTTGTTTGACGAACGATTGTTGACTACGTTATTTAATTTTTTATGCGGACGAAAAAGTGAGGCACCGGTTGAAACGAAAAACTAATCAAAACTTTGTAACCTGAAAAACATTTCCAAAGCAACTTTCTATGTGAATTAAAAAATGTAAAAAGTTTTTATACAGAATGTCCCATTTACGAGTTACCGATAAAAAATTAAAATTTCTTACAAAACACTCCAGTATTTTTTAACTGCAGAAAATAACCTTTTCAATGAAGTGGCACAAATCATATTCTGTCCCAAGGTTTGTATCCAAATTAATTTGGTCGTCTTTAAATATGCTAATATCCCTTAAATTTCTTAAAAAATATATATGATACCTTTCCAACGACGTGAAACACATATTCTAACCAAAGGGTTTTGTCCAACCTAATTTTTGTGTGTGTTTATATATTATTTTTAAAAATTTCTTCAAAATTACCCGTTTGCAATGCACTCACACAATTTAGTTTTGGTTAGCTTGCTAAAAAATAATAGCAGTTCAAATATAATAGGCATCAGTATCAGATTAAAGTCTAGGAGAACCCAAAAAGTAATTTAATCATAGTATAACATTAGGAATAACGAAATAAAAATAAAATAGAAACTTCGGAATATATTTCAAGCGGCAACAAAAAAATAAATTAATTTTTTTGATAGACAAAACATTTAAAAATTAGCTGTCACTTGTTAAAAAAGCCTGGTATTCCAGAAGACATATATTTTTCGTTTGGGTTTTATGGTTTTCGGATATTTTTAATTACTTTCATTTTAAAGAGATAAAGAAGATCGAAACAAACGTCGTCCGGTCCTGTATCCTGTATCTATAATGGAAAAAATTAAATTAACACATACAAAATGTCTACTTTTGAAAACAGTTGCTATTTAACAAACTTAACGATAAAAAAACACAAAAACAAAAAATAATGCACTTTGGTAGGCATTGCAAAATTATTCAATAATTATACAAAATCCTTGCCAAAAACGAGGCGTCGGCGGATAAAATATAAACAGTTTTCGTTTACCCATTCCTAGTGTGCTGCACTTTATGAAAAAAAACTCAGAAGGTAAGTACATAAAAACGTTCAACGTTATTCCATGGTTTAAAAAATGCCCATGCAGTATTCATGAATAAGCGGCGGCAACACTACAAATCGCAGAGGCCGACTGCATTAAATATATATATGCAACCATTGCCCATATGCGGACACGTGACCAGATAAACCAACGGACCCGACCGCAACTATTCTCGGCGTTCTTCCAAGAAGGAAGCACGCAAAAAAGTCTTTAATGGATGGATTTTGAGATCGTTGTATAAGGCCTGGTCGCCGTGTGGATTTAGTTACCAGTGACGAAAAGTTAAGGATAACATATGTCGTCGACGAGTCCGTATGTTTTAGCGGTTGACGACTGAGACCACCACGAAAATCTGGGCGTTTCACCGTGGTTTCCAGGAAAATATGCGAAAAAACATGTATACACAACTTGCCTTGAATCTGTCTGGAGAAGAGGGAAGCCAAAAAATGGATGTACAAAAAAACTTTGCAGAAAAAATAAACAATTTTCTTTACTGTTTCAATAATTGAGATCAACCCCGATAGAAAAAATACAGAGCGAACAGAAAAAAGACACTGAAAAATAATATATACACTTACAACAATAGTAATCTATAGAGACTAGAAGCTTAAAGGTATTATCGTAAATGTATTTTAAATTTTTACCCCCCATTGGATAGATGGTATATCTTTGTACTGTAAATAACCATTGGAAATCTTGACTTTTCAGTTAAAAAATGCTGACATTAACATCTTTTTTTCCAAACTCAATCTGCGTTTCTGAAATTGAATAATATTTTGATTGCCAAAAACCCTGTTATCGCATTTCCTCTTTCGTAAACTAGGCGTCCAATTCATCGAATTGCTTTTAAATGTGACGCTTTCTAATAACATCCCAGGGAAGTATTTTTCCTAATATTTAGAACCAAGAATAAGGCAATAAGCATTAAACCGATAAAAAATAAAATGCTTTACAAACATATGTAAATAACTATTTTTTTGTAAAATTCGGAAAATTCTTTAGAGTGTCACAATTTTTTTGGTGCAATATGATTTCCTAGCAATTTGTAAAATTTTGTGAAGTCATGGTTTTTGTGTTTCCGATTTTTATTTTATTGTAGCAATGGATAAAAGGAAACAAATTTCTTGAATGATAAAAAAAAATCATTCTGTATTCAACAACTGGAGCGCCTACCTACAGACTATTTTTATACTCAGGTGATCATATATTAGAGTAATTATTTTTATTTCCACATTTATTTATGTGTCTATTGTTAGAGTTGCTTAATTTAATATTACACTAGTTAAATAAAGTAAATAATAAAATAATAGGCACAATTTATGTGTGCATCGCAGTTTGCGCTTCCTACTCTCAGAGTTGAAGAGATGGTTAGAATGCACGCAACGATAGAAATTTCTCAGGGAATTTATCGAATTAGACAACCTTTGCACGTCCATTGATACCAGAGAACTGCGCCTAGCGCTAGCGCAACAATTAATCTCGCCGCTAATTGTTTTCTGGAATTGATCGAGTCAATCCTGCAGTGTCACGTGGTCTTCGTTGTGTAAGGATAGACCTAGAAGACTGCTGATATGAAAAAAAATGCCATCGGTCGACGAATACCGCAAAGATTTACTGTTCTCGTCTTCGACAAATAACTTTTTTCTGCAGCGTCGTGTGATGTTATCTGAAGATGGGTGTTCAGTTAAGTATGGCAAGCTTAAGGCTTTAGCGGAGAACACTTGACAAAATAGGATTGATTTTTCGTATTTTAAGCAAATATTTAGAAAATAAAAGAAAATAAAAATAAAACAAATAAATGTTATTTTGAATCAAAACATATGACTTTATCCAATGGCTGATGATTTTTTTAGTCATAGTCAATAGCCTCTTAATTAATTAATGTTAATTCGAATTTTCAAAAATATCGCTCACTGGCGAGAACAAAACAACAAAATTTTAAAATAATTTGTTACCTCAAAAATCCTAGTTACTTTTTTCTAATGAATTGCGACACAATAAAATTTTTCTATTAAGAGCTAACCCGCTTTGTGAAAATTGTTCCATAAATAAACGTTTTTTTATTATTAAACATTTTATTATTTACATTTTCCGAATTTAAGTGCTACGAAATTGTTGAGATCTTAGAAATATAAAATTATTTTCACAAGTTTACAAACTAGTTTCAAGGTTAAAACATTTAATGCAGGTAAAACTACAATAATGATGATAAAGGTACAAAATAAATTATTTTGCAAGAAGAACTAACTCATTTTTTAGATCATAATTTCACAAATTTCGTGTCCTGTCTAAAAGAAAATTTCATTGCATCAAGTTCTTAACTATGGACAGAATGAGACAATTGGGTTTTTGAGTGTCTGCACTCTTTAATATCAATTGTCGACCTCTGGTACTCCGAATCCTTTGGATTTTGGGGAGCCATGTGAAAAGCGACCAATACTTAAGCGCGACGAAAAAACGTAAAGGACAAAATAACACAAAATCTAGCTAAAAAATCTTTTTGCACAATTTTCGTACATTTGATTTAAACTTTTAAACTTCAACACTAAGAGTATCACTAAAAACAGGAGACAAAGTGAACAAAATGAACGAGTAATATTCCAAATTTAGATCAAATTAGAAAAAAAAAATTGAATTTATATAATACAATATACCTATAATAAAGAGTATACTATATACAATATACTATATT